AACAGTGAGATACTTGAGGAAGCAGTTTGGCTTTGGGTATGTAATTGGGTGTTCATGTATTTCCTTTTCCAGTAAAGAAAACTGTTTATGATGTGGCCTGAATTGCCTTAACCTTCTAGTTGAAGCAACAGTATCAGAACAGCTATATTCCCTGAAAGGTGAAGGGGAAGAGAAGGTGGATAAGGATGAAAGACTTCCAAGATTAAAGACATAAGCTTGGGGTTATTTCCTACTGAAGAACTGATTAATTAAGAGTGTGACAGTCCTTACCAAACACTTAAAAAGGCTGTGTGGGTGTAGTAGGGCAAGTAAAAACCAAGAAACCATCACCACATGTGTGCTGGTGGTGATTAGTGGGAGAAACAGACTCTAAAAGAATCTTGATGTAATGTGTGTCCCAGCACTTGGAACATTGTATTGTCATATTAAAAAAAAAATTTGTGAATTATTTTAAGTGACTTGCAATAGACATAACTTTTTGCTAAATTAGACTGGTGATAACTTTTCACTGTGGTGAGCTATTCAGTAATGCACAGGGTAAAAGGCATGTGTACTTCTGAATATTGGAAAATCAAATTTGGAGCTAGTTGGCAAAATGCAAAAGTGAACACGTGCACTGTAATGCTGCTCAGAAGTAGGGAAATGCGTCTTCTGATGTTACGAAAAATCAAACAAAATGTGGGACCATTTGTTTCCATTTTGGCAATTGATTCTTGGAAATTTGCATTGTGTCATTTTGCCACAGGGTGACACTAAAAACCTACTTTGAGCTGTTACACTCCGTGTTTTTCTGGTTAAAAAATGTTTCCATAGTTAGAAGCACAATGTGCTAAAAAGAAGTAAAGTGTGCAGAATACTAGGTGGACAGGTAAAAACGTCAAGGGTCTGTTTCTGATATGCTGAAGGGTAAAATACACATGAACAATAAATGCCTTTCCTGAAAAGTGGCTATTGTTGAAGACAAACCCAGCAAGATAATTGAAAATATTCTGACAATAAGCAAAAAATATAATTTCTAAATGCACACCATGATTTATTTATTTCTTCTGGGTTGGACTTTTAAATACATTTTTTATGTCTCAACTACTAGTGTATAAATCACATCTGCAAAATACAGCGATTGTTATTTTTGCTTTTGAAAACAATCCTGTGTATGAATTTCATTACTTCTTTGATCAAGAAAGTGTTGTTTGGTATACAAAAAGCAAAGTAACTGCTGTGCACAACATTAACCCGCATTAACAGAGAACTCACCATATGTCTCTTAGAGGATACCTTAGACATACCAGAGCAAAACTAATTAAAAATGTCTAATTTCACACCCAAAATGAAATTTCATAAAGAATAATATTTTATTCTTCATAATAAAATTCTTATTATTCTTCATAATTAAAGTTATGAAAACCTGAAATGCTCTTTTCACATCTCTTTTGGAGATAAACATGATAATGCAGTCTCTGATGATCTCCACCATACCAAAATCCAAAAGAAAGACTTACAATAAATCCAGAATGGGGTGAGGAAAAGAAAGAGACTAGTTTCTCTTGCTCTTTTTCTGGAAGCTAAAATCTTCCAATTTCTTCTCTTTGGGTGGGGATTGTATTTCTGAGGTGTTACTCACACCTAATATCTGAAAAGGTGAGCTCTATTCATGAGTGCTTTATAGAGGTTGCTTGCCAAAAAAACCCATCATTCACCTGACACTGTCTGCAGAACATAAAACCTGTGCTAGTGGCTAACAGGAAGAGAGTGCATTTCATCTGATTTCTCAGCTTGACTTTGGGACTACCTAAAGCAGCTTCTTTCAAAGACTCTTTATATCCATGCCCAACAGAAGCAGGCAATAGGAGTCAGAGGACTCACATGGCCCCTTACCCTTTTCACATCACTTTCTTCAAAGGCAGCAGTCTTCCTGTCCCTGTCTGTGCTATTCCAAGAAGAGATATGCAGCTAGAGGTACTGTAAATAAGAACTCCTATCTTGGACATAAGAAGATGTAAGAAGTAGTCTCTCTCATATGATTTTGTTGGTGGAATAAAGAAAAGCGCAATTAGCCTTGTAATACCATGACATTTTAACTTTACAATGTCTGCAAACCAGTTAATATGTCAATCCTGGCATTAAAAATCAGGAATGAGTTCAGACTTGTGTTTTATCATATGTGTGAAGCTAACGCTTGACACTGTCAAGAAACAGGTGTAATGTTAAGGGTGATATTTATTCTGGAAGATACAACTGGCACATATGCAAATTAGATGGGTTTTGGATAGAAGATAAGGTTTAACTAAAAGAAGGCTATTTTCACAAGATTAAATCAGTCTTATCTAGTACTTGTTTTGTTCTTGTCAAGCCAGAGAGATTGTATTGCAATTGCTGGAGTTTTCATCTGGAAAAGTGTCTCCTTGGATATTAGTTTCTGAAAGAGATGAATCTAATTAGAGCAGAGGTGTTCAGCTGAGCTCCCTGAGCTCACTGTCGGTCCCAGCTGATCAGCTGTGGCAGTTTCAGAATACCCATCTCTCTCCTGGGGCTGGATTAACGAGACTTGGCTGCTTGGCTTTGTCTCTGAAGTCTTCTGACCTGTAAGCATTGCTTGTGCTGCCTTTCCCTGCCTTTCTCTGAGGCTTTCACATTAGTCACGGATGAGGCCTATGCCACATGTGTGCAGATGGGCCCTGGGAGGTTTGAGTTAAAGGTGCTCTAAAACCAAAGAATTCCACTCACACCGACAATGGGAGGTGGTATTGCCAGAGAATGTCAATTTATTATGCCCACCCACCTCCCTGTTTCCATCTCCAAATAACCATTAGGAATTGAAGTATTATTTGAGGAAGTCATCTTTTTATCTGTCTGTGTGGAGAAAATGTTGTGTCACTTGAGGAGAAGCTTGGCTTAACTCCCTCCCTCAACAAAAAAGCCATTCAAAAAGGTATAGCAGCAACTGGTCACTCAGTATTCATTTGTACTTAAAACCAAAAAGAAATATGAACACCTTTTCTTGACTTTAGTAATGTTTTTTGAGGAACTGTGCCTTAAGTCATAAACCTGATACTGAAAGTTGAATTTTCATAGATAAGAGTTATTCAAAAACCTCCCAAGATGAAACCAAGTAGAGAAATAATTAAAATTTCTTTGAAGGGAGTGTTTATAAATATTTATATAAGAATTAATGGGAAAAATGCTTTTACTGATAACTTTGTACAAGGTTTTACAATGCATCTTTTTTTTTAATAATTTTTAGGATTTTTTCTAACCTCTGATTTTGTTTTGCCTCTAGAATTTCAGTCAGATATACCTGTGGGGAAAACAAGGATTATGATCTTTGAAAGCAAGATTTAAGAGCATAAAAGTGCAGAGACTGCATGCTTGCTGCACACAACTGTTTAGGTAAGCTGTTATGCTGGTACTGTACCAGAAGTTGTTATGTTCATCACAGCTGCTTGGCTTCTGTCCCATAGAACCCCCGGCTCAAGGAAAACACAGAGTCATGGATGGGATAGAAGGAACCTTAAGGACCATTTAGTTCCAAGCCCTGGCCATGGGCAGGGACACCTTCCATTAGATCAGGTTGCTCAGAACTCCATCCAACCTAGTCTTGAACATTTCCAGGGATGGGGAGTCCACAGCCTCTCTGGGCAACCTGTTCCAGTGTTTCATGACCCTCACAGTCAAGAATTTCTTCCTAATATCTAATCTAAACCTGCTCTCCTTCAGTTTAAGGTCATTCCCCCTTCTCCTATCACTACATGCACTTGTGAAAAGTCCCTCCCCACCTCTCGTCGGCCACCTTTAGGTACTGGAAGGTGCTGTAAGGTCTCCCCAGATTCTTCCCTTCTCCAGGCTGAACAACCCCAACTCTCTCAGCCTGACTTCATAGGAGAGGTGCTCCAGCCCTGTGATCATCTTCATGGCCCTCCTTGGGGCTTGTTCCAACAGGTCAGTGTCTTTCTTGATTTGGGGGCCCCAGAGCTGGATGCAGTGCTCCAGGTGGGGTCTCATGAGGGTAGAGTGGAGGGGGAGCATCACCTCCTTCAAACTGCTGGTCACGCTGCTTTTGATGCAGCCCAGGATGTGGTTGGCTTTCTGGTCTGACAGCACACATTGCCAGGTCAGGTTGAGCTTCCCACCCTCAAACGCCCCCAAATCCCCCAAGTCCTTCTCCCCAGGGCTGCTCTTGATCCTTTCTTCACTCAGTCTGTGTCCATATCACCGATGAAGATGTTCAGCAGTTCCAATTCCGATCACTGAAGAACACCACTGGTCTCCACTTGGACGCTGAGCAACAACACTTTGAGTCCAACCATCCAACCCACTCCTTATCCACCAAATGGTCCATCTGTCAAATCCACATCTCTGCAGATTAGAGGCAGGAATGTTGTGCGGGACAGTGTCAAATGCTTTGCACAAGTCCGGCTGGATGACATCAGTTGCGCTTCCCTCATCCACCACTGCTGTAATCCCTGTGTAGAAGGCCACCAAATTTGTCAGGCACGATTTGTCCTTAGTGAAGCCATGTTGGCTGTCACCGGTCACTTCTTTATTTTCCATGTGCTTTAGCATAGTTTCCAGGCAGATCTGCTCCATGATCTTGCCAGGTACCAAAGTGAGACTGTCTGGCCTGCAGTTCCCTGGGTCTTCCTTATTTCCCTTTTTAAAAATGGGGGATTTATGCTTTCTTTTTTCCATTCAGTGGGAACTTCACCAGATTGCCGCAACTTCTCAAATATGACAGATAGTGGCCTAGCCACTTCATCCACCAGTTCCCTCAAGAATGGGTCAGCCCTGGGTGAAAGGACAATACTGTGAGAATGTAGGGGTTATATGGACAGCTTTTCTTTCAGGGGCAGAGTTGGAATCGGGGTTTCTAACAGCTCTTCACAACCATCCAGAACAGCCAGGGCTTTCACTCAGATATCTGGGAGAAGACGAACCACCTCCTGCCTCAGCGGTGGTCCTGCCCGCCGGCCGCTGCCAGGCGCCCGGGGGACGCGGCGGGAGGGATGGAGGGAAAGAAGGAGAGAAGGAGGCGGGTGTTGGGGCGGGAGTGGGGAGCGGGCGCGGCGGCGGGTGAGCGCCTGGGGCCACGGGTGAGTGCCTCACCTGGCCACGGCAGTGGCCATGAGCGGCTCCCCGGGGCGCCGGAGGGCGAGAGCCGAGAGCCGCGCCAAGGTAGCGACCGGCGGGACTCGGCCCGGAGCCCCAGACGGGGATGTGCGGAGGGAGGCTTCGGGCTTTGCAGGCGCTGCTGGTGCCGTGTGCGCTGCAGAGAACAAGGAGCATCTGAAGCGCTCCTGATGGGGAGTTGCATACCAGTTGCGAGGGGCTTGGGTTATCGCAGGTTAGAGGATGGCGGTGAAATGTGTCACAGCGGTGGTTAAAGTTTAACCACTTTATGGCAAGCATAAAAAATGTTTATTGTAGGATATGTAAATATTACCATGTTTTCTGAAAAAGTGCTCTTCTGTAAGGTGCGTATAAGTAGTATTGTGAGTGAGAATATGTATTCTGTTTGTAAATTGGTGTCCTCAGAGCTCAGTGAAGTGCTGAAGGTACTGATAGCTTGGCTGCTCCGATCTGTTCCCTAGGACTAGGACAATGTATATAACTGGAGAACTTGAGAGTGCCTCTATCAGAGAGCAGACTATTAGGATGGGATTCACCTAATCTAGTTGATGTGTCAACAGTGATGATGACTGTAATAGATATCTAGGCTGTCTTTATTGTCAGAGGTATTCATAGGGCATGATTACTTTTTGTATGAATGCCAAAAATTGATTACAGGAATCACTTTCTAGAAATTACTTTGTGTAGAGACTCAAAATCAAGTCAGCTTACACCTAAGCAAACAGGATTTAATATGCAATTTAGAATTTTGGAATTGCAGTTCATCTTCAGAATCTGTTTTAGGCCCCTATGTGACTGTCTGGATTTCAACAATACTTATTTGCACATTACTTTATTTCCATTGCAAAAATTCACCTTTCATGGATCTTAAACAAGCATAGTGGCCTACTTTCTTTCATATTTAAAAATTCATTAGATATTCCAGTACAAATCTACTTGGTTTTGAACAGATATATTTCAAGTTAATTAACATTCAGCTTTCATGTCCTTTTCTTTCCTGTCAGATCCCTTTTAGAAGGACCTTCAGACATATTCTGCAATATAACAAAAAAGAGAAAATACAGATGCAGAAGTTGCTTTACAGTATTATATGGTTATTTATTTTAATTAGATATCTGCTTCATCTTCATTTTGAAGAGTATATTTATCCATTTTACATTAAAGTATCATTAATTACAGAAGTTTTGTTTCAGTGAATGCATTCTCTCATTTATGCTCTTGCAGGTTATTTTACAAACAGAATCTGAAATAAAGCAAGGGAGGTCACCTTCAAGGCTGACCAGAAGGATGCATAGGACAGAAGGATGCATAGGACAGGAATGGGCCAATAATGTGAACTTAGCTGCTCCTTTATTCTGCATGCAAGTATGTCACTTTAAATGGTAACTGACAATGCTTATATTTTACGTAATTATTAACATGGTTGTCAGTACCATTTATGATAGACATTTGCTGCTCAAGATAAACGTGTATTTTAGAAAATGGTATGTATATCTGTTCTCTTATATTGAGAAATATATACATCAGTCTTGGCTATCTAGAAGTTACCAGTTTGAAGGCTGATTAAATTCTTTCATAGAATTTTCCAAACCAGATATAATAAGAAATCATTTCAAGTTTTGATTCTCTCCTTTAACCTTATACCATCTTATTCTTTAAGGGAGTGAGTTCTGATCCAGAAGTTTAGAAAATATTGAGAGAACATGAAGAACTTATATCAAAGCTGAAAAAATATGAGCATCAGGTGACAGAAATTCTGTGTAACTTCAAAGTTTTAACAGCTGAGAGAGGCAAAATTGTCAATATTTATGAACAGGTAATTTTATTTATATTTGTATGATTAATTGAAATAACAAGGTGATGTGCAAGAAAAGAATTCTACTTTTGGTTTTGTATGAAAAAGGAAAAAATGCAAAGTACTTGTTTAAAAAATAGAAAAAGAAGTTATGGAAATTCTGTGATTTAAATCAATTTAATACAAGTTTGTAAGTGCTGTCCTGAGTTAAGAATGCTTTCCTGAATCAAAGAATATATGCACAAATAATTACTTCATCTTTGATATTACACAGTTTCTGGGATGCTCTGCATTACCAACCATAGACCACAGTAACATACTACATTATCTATTCCATGTTTCTGTTATGTTGCTGTTTTTAAGAACAGGCACAGAAGGAGATTTTCCAGCTCTGTCAGGAAGTTATAAAATGCTCCAGAACTCCTAAAAGCACTGCAGCAGCTCAAGCTATGTTAAGACGTGAGGAGATAGAAAGGGATATAGCACTGTCAGATTTCCGAAGGATGACTACAGAACGTGATAAGCCTCAGGGAGCAGTTACAGGTTTGATTCTGTCCCGTCCTGCCCCTCTTGCCCCCCTCCGTTACTTATACATGAAAACTACTTAGTAGTGTAATTAAAGTTGCTAAAGATTTCTATTGTGATCCTGAGCATTAATTGCTTTACAAGTCTGTGGTGAGTTGAAACTTGTTCCCTATGTGATTTGTTTTGTTACTGTTATTTGATATAGATTTCCCAAGAAACTGCATTTAATCAGAAGGCTCATTTGGAACAGAAAATTGAAGAGTTTGAAACTACTATCCATAATGTAAGGGAAAATAATTATTTATAGAATTGTAAATGTAATACAGGTGATGTTCATAGTTAATCCTGCAGGACCAACCTAATTATTTTCTATTGGAAAGCAGCAGGTTGAGAGCAGTGGGTGTTATTTACAAAGACTATTCCCCTCTACTCCACTCTGATGAGACCCCACGTGGAGTACTGTGTCCAGCTCTGAAGCTGGTTGAGAGAGTGGGGGTTGTTCAGCCTGGAGAAGAGAAGAATCCGGGGAAACTTTGTAGCACCTTCCAGTACCTAAACGTGGCGGACAAGAGATGGGGAGGGATTTTGTACTGGGGCATGTAGTGATAGGACAAGGGAGAATGACCTAAAACTGAAGGAGAGCAGGTTTAGATTAGATATTAGGAAGAAATTCTTGATTGTGAGGGTGGTGAGGCGCTGGAACAGTTGACCAGAGGACTCCCCATCCCTGGAAGTGCTCAAGACCAGATTGGATGGAACTCTGAGCAACCTGGTCTAGTGGAAGGTGTCCCTGCCCATGGCAGGGTAGTTGGAACTAGATGGTCTTTAAGGTCCATTCCATCCAAAACCATTTTGTGATTCTATGGTTTTAAGACTGTACCAAGGCTTTTGACACTGTTACCCACAATGTTCTTGTGTCCAGGTTAGGATGGGCTTGTTCCACCTGGAGTAGAAATGGCTTAAGAGAGACATAAGTCCTACCTGCCAGTACTCATCAAGAAGTCATAAACAGGCTTTCTACAGCAGTGCATGGTGGAAGGACGAGCAACAATGGATATTGGTTGAAATGAGAAAGGTTCAGGCTGAATACGTGGAAATACTTCTTTCTCATGAGAGCAGTTGAGCAATCCCCAGCCTTGAAGATTTTCAGGACTGGACTGGACAAAGCCCTGAGCAGCCTGGCCTCAGAGCTGGCCCTGCTTTGACCAGGAGTTTAGACTAGAGACCTAGAGACCATTTCAGTGTGAATCATCTTATGATTGTGTATTACAAAGACCTGTAATTGTCTGTTCTGGCAAGTACTATTTAATATGGTTTAAAACCAAATGTAATTGTACTGTGTGGGGAGGCCTATTTAATATAGTTTAAGTTACTTGTGTGTGCAATTGTTTGCTAACATATGGCACTAAAATAGAAAATGAAAGCATTACTAAAATTAATGTAAATCTTAAATTTATTTACGGTCTTTGTAGAACTTGTTTTTTAAATACATTAACATTGATTTCTGTATTGTATCTTTTTTCTAGATTTTTTGGTTATAAATTTTGGTTCATTTTCTTTTTTCCCCTCAGCCTTCTAAAATCCTACCAAGCTTATAAATATAATACCAAGGTTTATAATATTAAATTGAGTGCATCTGATATGAAGAATACACTGTAGGCTTAAATAGCTCTGAGTAGTAAATTAACTTTAATCACACGCCTACATATGTGTAGTGAATATTGGGAGCCCTGTTTTAGGTACATCTTCTTATTTCTTCAGTTCTTTTGGTACCCTTTGAGGGCCATACATCAACATTAAATTTATGGCACTAGTACTGAAAAAGTTATTGTGTACCAGATGCTTACTGACTTGCTCTTTAGAAATCTGACCTTTGTTTAAAGTAGCACAGAAATTAGTACTAAAAGAATCAGTAAATGAGGAGAGAGATGAGGTGAGGATATTTGTACTTTAAAAGAGCTGTTTCAAATAATTTAGAAAGGACAATCCTTTGAATGTTAAGTGTAAGCATGTTGATAAAAATATGCATCTTTCTTTAAACTGGAGATTTCAAACTAGCTTTGCTGGAGTTTGTGCAAGAAGTTTTGGACCTGTTCTTTGTTCTAGCTACAGACCTGAGGGCCTCATGGTGATAATTGGTTACGTAGTGCTTTATGCAAATGTTTTACAGTGATTTCTCTACCCAGTTACTGGCTAGGTATATAACTTCGTAGACGCCTAAAGCCATCACTGGTTGTGTTGTATCCCAAATTGGGATTTCTTCCTTCATACCCTCATAATAATGTTTTCTCTTACATTATTTTGCATTGAAAACTTTTAATATTGATCAATGACAAACATTTTTGCCCTTAGGCATAATTACCAACAGAAGATTACATGAATAAATGAAAATATTTCCAGAATCTGAAAGTCAGGAAATTGATTTACCTTCAAAAGACCTGAAAATCACATTTCAGCTCTTTGGCAACTATCTTCAGTAGATTTGTAGTCAGGCCTTGAGCAAATGAGATACTTGGACATTTCTTCTTCAGCAAAAGTTTTGTGCTAAAAACAGAGTAAAAATTAAAATAATGTAAATTAGATGTATAAACCAGATCTTTTTTTCAGCTTTTAATGGTTGATTATATTTACAGTTAAATAGTGAAGAGTTAGAACAGATGTCCAAAGTGGCACTAATGAAAGATACCATTGATTCTCTGGAAACTGCGATGAAAAGATTGACAAGAAAAGTACTGGACTCTGAAACTGAGCTGAGTTGACAGGAAGGTAATAGCTTTCTCTTAGGTAAGTAAAGGTATAAAATTGCATTAATTTGACTAGTAACATCAGGCTATGTTCATTGGTTTTCATAACTGTTACATAGCTCAAAGGGAAAGGAATTTACAATAGCTGCTTATGAGCCATCTTTCTTTTCAGAATGAAATTGTTTTCCTCATTGCTTATTTATATGCAAATGGTTTTTTCTTGTTGATATGATGATATGCTGGAAACCATCTTCAGTGAAAAACTAAAATTCACCTTGACTTAGAGCTAGGAGCTTTTTATTAGAAACTGCAGGGATTGATTTTTTTTGGTAAATTGTATATTAATAATTTTGCTTTCTTGTTTTTAATATTTGTTTTCATAAAAGCAGGCAAACATGCATAAAATAATGAGTGTCAGGTGTCATTAGTCCAGGTATCATTATCCACATCTTAGTCTTGGAGCCTTTTCATGAGAGGAACTGGAACACTAGCTTTGCATAGAGTTTATGGCCTGCTGCTCAACTGGATCTCCTAACCATGTTCAGAAGCATGTAGTAGGACTAGACTCAATCGAAGCCTTTAGAGAATAAAGCATAGGTCAATGAGTGCAAGATAAAAAACAATAATTTACTGACAGGAAGAAAAGATCAATCAAATGTGGAGTTTGTGCAGAGAGATATGAAGGACCAGATCACAGACTGAACTGGGCTACTGAGTGAACAGACTGCCAGAGAAGATACTGCAACTTTTCCCTCTTTTATTTCCTTAAATATAATTCAGTTAGAGAAACACTGTTCTAAATCTGTGTCCTTACAAGTGACTGGTGTAGCTTACACATGGGTGTTGTAGTTTTTTTGTTGGATTTTGAGTAGTGGGAATGCTGGGTGCTAGCACGCAATACTGTGCTGGCCCACAATACTTCTCTAACGATACTGTGATTTCTAAAATAGCATGAACACATTTGTAAACCCAGTCCTGAGTTACTACTCCTTTATAACACACTATCAGATTTATGAATACTGTAAAAATTGAGTTGTTGAAAATTAGTTGCTGCTACTGAAATATCTTTTTTCTCTCCACCTCCAAACCAGGCTGATAATTCTCTCCAGTTTCTCGAACAGTGTGAGAATCATTAATACTACTACATTATTTGGACAAATAACTTGGGTCAGAGATTCCAATGTATGTCCCAAGGGATGATTTCTATTTTAATTATTTTTGTGGAATTTTTACAACCACCTGCTTTAAAGAATTGTTCTTACTTTTCTGTGATCCTTTAGAGGAGTATTCAGACTTTAAAATATAGACATTACGGTTCACAATAATAAAATACCCCAAATAGCCTAAAATAGATAGAAGAATCTCACTTTTTCATATCTTTTGCAATTTTAGTGACATTTCGAAAAGGAAAAAAAAATATCAGTGTCTGAATTCTCCTGTTTAATTCTTCTGCTTTTCCAGTTTATTGAATGAAAAGACAGAACAGAGTCTTTCAGAGACTCATCAAAGCCTCATTAAGAAAAACCATGAAATGAAACTTAGCCAAGAGAAAATGATGCTTTTGGATGAAAAAATTGTTGAGTGACAGATACAATTTTTATAATACAATTCAATAGGCTAATTGTTACATTCTGAATTTTTATTCTTCCTTTTTCTCCCTTATGGATTGAAAGAAAAGGTGTTGAATGCAAATAAGTATACTTTTGACAGTTTTAACATTCTGAGTGCAAAAATTCTGTTTTCTTTCATTATTGGAGGGGTTTTGCCTTTTAAATTATACAATAGAGCTCTTGCAAGTAAGTTTCAGTGACAATACATACTGACAGCTGAGCAATGTGTGTTGGTACCAATGCACAGGGTCTGAGGGTATCAGTTGTACTTATGATCGTCTAAGGCAGTGGCAGCACCTCTCAGCACCATAAGATGATGATGGTGATGAAAGTTAGGAAAACATCCTTTATAGTATATTATAGTATATATCCTGTATTGTATGTTGCACCTTGTTTATATTATGGGAGTAAAGGAGATAGATGCAGGAACTCCTGTAGTGCCAAGGAGTATCGTCTTCCAAAACTACAACTGTAAAATTCTGATAACACACCCTTATTTAAAATCATGGAGTGGCTGAGGTTCAATCTTCCTTCTCAAGCAGGGCTACCTAGAGCCAGTTGCCCAGCACCATGACTAGATGGATTTTGAATATTTCCAAAGAAGGATACTCTGTGACTTCTCTGGGCAACCCGTTCTACTGCTGAGTCACCCCCACAATAAAAAACTGTGTTTCCTGATTTTCAGAGGGAACCTCCCGTGTTTCAGTTTGTGCCCATTGCCTCTTTATCCTGTCACTGGGCACCACTGAAAACAGCCTGTCTTTGTCCTTTTTGCACCCACTCTTCAGATACGTTCATAAGATCCCCTCCTGAGCCTTCTCTTCTCCAAGTCAAACAATCCCAGCTTTTCCTCATAGGAGAGATGCTCCAGTCTTTCAGTCATCTTAATGGTCTTTCACTGGACTCTCTCCAATCTGTCCATGTCTCTCTTATACTGGGAAGACCAGAACTGGACCCAGCACTCCAGATGTGTCTCATCAGAGATGAGTAGAGAGGAAGAATCGCCTCCCTCTACCAGCTGCTGATACTTTCCATAATGAAGAGCAAGATACCATTTGCCTTCTTTACAACAAGGGCACATTGATGGCTCATGCTCAACATGGTGCTCACCAGGACTCCCCGCTTCCCTACCAAGCTGCTTTCCAGCCAGTGTGTACTGTTGCCTAGGGTTGTTCCTCTTCAGGTTCAGGAATTCCCTTTGTTGAACTTGATGAGGTTCCTGTCAACCCATTTCTCCACCTGGTGCAGATCCCATTGAATTGCAGCATGACCCTCTGAAGTATCAGCCTGCATGTTTTTTATAGGATGTAAGGCTTGCTAAAAGAGGAGTTTCTGTGATTCTTCTCTGCAAATGCAATGTATGTAGATCAAATAAAGATTGATTCTCTGACCATTTAAAGGTAAATGTAGTGTGTAACACAGTATCAGCTGAATGAAGGTATTGAGAGACATATTACAGAATTTGATTTTGTAGTGAATAGATTTCTTTTTTCATTCTTATATTTTCATTTTTAAGCTGCGTTGAATTTTATAATTGCATTACCCTTTCTCACTTTTACATAAAGGTCATTTAAATAAAACAAATTATTTCAGGAGAAAACTGGGTAATATCAGGATAGCAGCCTCTTACTTCATCAGACATTACATGCTGTAATCTATGTATTGCTCCTGTCAGTAGTAATTCTGTGTAAGCCTATATCATTATAATACCCAAGAAAGTTATTTTAAATGATCGAAATATTTACCCTTTAGAATAGATTTGTTTTGAGCCAAGTAATTTAAGGCCTTGATCTAAAGAGGAATGCATTTCTATAATTTATTTATATATTTTGAAAAGGTGCATGCTTCACTGTTTTCTTGAAGGGAAGCTTTTGCCTTGTTCTTTTATGCTCTAGAAGTGTATCAAAAGAATTTTTATTTCAAATGGGATTAAATAATAAAAATGAGACCTTTCTGATTGAGTTCAGGTAACTTTTCAAGACAAAGTCATGTACAAGAAGAAGAGGTCTGTGCTTTGAAAGAAACAATTGCACAACTCGATAAGGAGAAGGCATCTTTGCAACACCGTGTGGAAGAAGGAAGAGAGAAGATTGCTACTTTTGAGGAAAGCCTGGCAATTAAAGTATGTTCTAATACGTAAATGGGACCCCTGGTGGCCTAGTGGTTAGGATGCAGCACTCTCACCGCTGCGACCCAGGTTCGATTCCAGGTCCCCCGGGCAGATGGAGCTCGTTAGCCCTGTGAGGCCATTCATCTATGAGAAGGTCACTCTAAACAAACCTACGTCCTGAGGACCTCACTGCCATTGTCCAAGCTTGCTTGGCCCCGGCAGATGAACCTTAGGATTAAAGGGTGGGCTCAGTTCAGCACAGGCTGTGTCTCACCTAAAAAATCCATTGCGCAGGCTGGAAAGGTAAAAGACCTTTCCCCAAATCTTCGTTCACGAAGACTGGCCATTATTATTATTTATTATAATACGTAAATAGTCAAAAAAAGGTAAACGGAAAGGATCTGTTGGGTCATCACACCTATCTTATATTGGTATTTACAACAGTGCTCAGTGCTGATCTAGTTCTGCTCCTTCAGGATAACAATAAAACTCGTGTTGACTTCAACAGCAGTAGATGTGAGCAGTGTTGATCACTTCATTTTAGGTATTTTGTATGGCTTATACTTATCGAGAGAGGAGACTTTAAGTACTGTCCTGAGGTGGGGAAAATTAGCCAATAAAATACTTCATTGGTCATAAAAGTTAACCTAAATTCTTCCTTGGGGTCCAGTGACATTAAAGATGCAGGGTGCTAAATAATAGTCCCTTTGTTGTCATTGAAGAAACATCTGAATTATATTCTTTTCACCTTAAGTTTATTGCATAGTGTGATTGCAATCTATATAATGAAGCTGCTCAGTTATTAGTTCTGAAACATTATTTTTCACTTCAGCTTAAGTGACTGGGATATTGATTTAGGATAAACTAAATAATGTATTTTTTAACTGTTGTCATTTAACTCAAGAATTTGCATTGATTTTTAACAAAATCTTGAGGAAAAGATATTGCAGGACAGGCTAATATCATCTTGCCATAGGCACTGATTTTGTATTTTTACAACTGTAAATTGTAAAATGGTGTCTATTTTAGAAAAGAGATGGCTCTCTCTCACCTCACTTATTTCTCCAGTAGAAGACGTTTTCTAAGCCTATCTCTGCTTCTTTTAGTATCTCCATCCAAAGTCAAGGGAGTAAAGTAATATACTTTTTGTTTTATCAATTACAAACTACCAGACTAGTAGTTTATTCATTGTAGAAAAGCTATGTTAACTTACCTAATAGGCAGCCGACATCATTTAATTCTGGGACTGTGAGCAAAATGCTACATTTAGAAACACAAAGGATAAAAAAAATTAATTAAAATTATGATATTCTGCAGATGATAACAACATTTGTTCTTTATTTCCCAAATAAAAAAAAAAGAAAAGAATTTTCAAATCTAAATAGTACATGGTGAAGCTTGGAAAATCACAATCCATTTTGCATTAAATAGTTAAAATAATCAGCTAGTTGAATAAAAAGAGATATAAACAATATTGCTCATTTTTTTTCTTCCATTTATACTGAGGAGTGGTGAGAGGTTTATTTTAATTCTGTATTTCTTTTCCAGAAGAAAATAATTTCAGATTTCAAGATTCTGATTTCTGAGTTGGAGCATTCCACAAAGTAAGAAATGTCAACATTATTATCAAATTGTGATTAATTTATAGCATTAAACAAAAAAATAGGATGTACTAATGTAGAAATTTTTTTTTACTCAAATTAATATCAAAATGTTACAGCTTTCTTTCCTGACTTGAAAACTTAACCACTGGAAAAGCTGTCATTTGTATTCGATTGGGCAGTAGTGTCATACCTGAAGAATTTTTTATTTGCTGCATAGGTCATCTGCTGAAGCACTCTCCATCTGTGAGAAGGATATCACCAGTTTGCATCAACAGCTATAAGAAACTAACAAAGAACTCACATAGACCAACAAGAACACAGTATCATTAGCTCAGGAGAATGACAGGTTATAGGAGCATCTTTCTAATATTAAGCAAGAAATTCAAGTATGTTTATACCAAGAACCCTTGACTAAAAAGAAAAAATGGTGCCTTTTTCAAGTAGCACAGGGAATTGGTGGGTCCTCATTTGAAGTAAATCTGCAACCTAGCTTTAGGTTGGTGTTTCAAACTCTGATTTTTCCTTTATTGCTCAGCTCACTTGTATGAAGAGAACCAGCTATTCTTATGTAGTGGTTTAGATATTTATCTTGAGGAACTGCTAATTAATGTTTTTTTCCTGATCCTAAAGTAAAAACAATGTGCCAGCTGTAACTAACATTTGTATGGAAAAGTATTAAAAAGGAAGCAGGGAGTGTTCCTTATACTGTGCTGTGACTGGTCTAGAGTACTTTAAAGCTTATTACTTTCACCTGCTAATAATGTAACACATTACACATTTTAACAAGGTTCTAAATTGTTATTAATAGCATTTTATTGATGTATATTTCCTTAAAAGTGGCTTTTGGATAAAAGATAATGGAAATAGTTGGTTATAATATAACCTTACATTGTCTACTGTGTTAATTATCTCTGTGCAGTTCCTAGTGAAAGTAATTAAAATATTTAAAGTGCCACCTCATGCACACGTAATAAGCCTGCACCAGCATTTTCCAAGCAGCTAGAAATTAAGCTTAATACCTGTAGTAGTTCATCCCCATGTAATGTTCTTGTTTTCTTCTTTTTCTTCAGCTTCTTGCCTTCATTTAGGTTTTCTGATACTTGATCTTTCTTCTCTGCACTTAGTCTACTACTCACCTGGTTTTCTCTTCCTCTAGAAGTGCTATTTAGTTTGAAAGGAGCAAATTAACTGCACCTGATCCTAAGTATATAAAAGCTTTAAGTCATTAAGGCTCCCTTTTAAGTGAAGAAAATTCCTCCAGGAGATTCATCCCATTCCAGTTTTTAAAGTAATTAATATTACCTGCCTCTCTCCCTTCACCAAAGAGGCAGTGTAGCTAATGACTTTACATTGGTGCCTAATTCTTTGCTGCAAAAATTAGGTGAGACAACTTGCCTTCTAAATAACTTCTCTCAAACATCCTAACTGTTTCACTTTGGTGCCCTCCCTGAGTATCCAAGAAAAGGCAAGGTTTAAAGTAGCTTTAACCACCAAAGATTCTCCAGGCAATCACTATGCTTCACCTTCTCTCAGAAGCACAGTTGATACTGATGATGCCTCCTGTTGCTCCTAGCTGCTTTTGAAAACATCATGGTTTTCGTTGCAATGCCTGGATGCTTGTAGAAGCAGTTAGAAACAAAAATCTCAGTCTTACACGATCAAGTGCTCTTAAAAGGCTTGCCTCTATAATGTGTATTGGATCCTCTAGGTTATTCCATTAATTGAGGTGTAACTCCATGTATTTAAAGTAGCATTCTTGTTTCTACATTTGGGCTTACTGGAAAAGTTGACAGATTTTCAGAGCAACTCACAGCCCTTCTGCAACAGGAACAGGAGTTTCTTCATACCCTTCTACACACCACATCACCCCCACGCACACACCTGCCCCCAGTTCTTGCAGATGAATGTTTTCCTAGTAATTTTATATGAAAGAAAAAGTTTCTGAACAGTGCAGTTCAAGACAGCCTTTCTGCATTTTTTTCCTCATTCTGTTCTGTTTCTCAAGCAATAGTTGCCAGAAATTCTCTGTGTGTCCTTCTAATACTTCTGGCTTTATTTTTCCTGATTAGGAGATAAGCACTTAATTAATTAAGATATAAGCAATTAATTAATAGTTAGACCACTTAATTAAAATTTTTATCTGTCTTCTTTTTAAAATGTGGGCTTTTAAAAGACTAGAATGTTTAAAAAAAGGGAGCTAACTGAGCTTTGCTTCTTAAATTGTTTTATGACAATTTGGCTGTAAAATAAACCATCTGTATTTTTCTTCTTAAATGCTTCATTTCTTTACAGACATTTTTCTTCTTAGGAAGATTTAGCATTATTTATAAGTCAAAGAAACAAATTTTTTTTGCCAAGTGAAAAATTTGGTGTATAGAAGTACAAATAATTTAGATTTTATGTAGCCTTTAAAAAACCAGTTAATAAAGCCATAGACCTTAGGTACACACTATTTTCCTGTGTTTTTTTGTAAAGGTACACGCAGTATGCTCTAACCTCATAGAAAAAAACTTTCTTAATAGGTACTACATAATAAACTAGCAAAGTACCAAAACAAGCTTCATTATATGAAGGCCCAGGATTCAAACACAGATATTGTCAGGCTGAAGAATGTACTGAAGTCTAAAGTGAGTGTACAAATTAAAACTGTTAGTAAAAGCTGTTGTTTTTTAACTAAAAATAAAATTTTAACGATATCTCCACGGAAAAATTTGCTTCCTAGCCAAAACTTATTTGCATTCTATTAATTTGGTTTTATTAGCTTGGACACATTTTCATGGCTATTTTTGCAGTACACAATTAATGCAGTATATTTCATTGTGCTTCTATGTATATACACTCATACATCTGTGTGTTTATTAAACTTATACATTTAGACAGTGAGTAATACAGAGGCTTTGAACTCTGGGATTAAAGTAAAAAAAATATTATTGTGCTACATTGCTATACCTTGTATTTCTAACATTAACCTAGACATTTTTAACAGATGTCTTTTGTTCATAAAAATGTAGTCATCTTGAACAAAACTCTGGTTCTTGAGAAGTATCTCAATGTTTTGGCCAAGAGGCAAAATTTTCAGTGGAAATAGAATATCCAATACCATACCCGTAGATCTATAGCTATCCCTACTTTGTGGAGCTTACTGTAAATTATTAAATAAACAAGCTTTATGTGTTAGGAGAGAGAGAACTGTGAGCTCTTGGAGAATTACCACCAAGCCTGTGAACAAAGAGAAAGTTGGGAAGCAAAATGCCGTCAAGCAGAAGCAGTCTTTCCCTCTGTTAGACTGGCACTGATCAGTGCAGAGTCTGAGAACCACAGGTTGAAAGAGAAAATAGAGTCCCTTGGAACACAGATGGAGCAAGCAAGTTGAAACCTTTCTTTCCATAGTTCAGCCTTGAAATGGTCTGGTAGTATTTTTAAGTTATGTTTAATGCAAATTCTTATGTTTTAGAGAGATTTGCTGCCATGAACTGTATGGATTTTAATTTTATATAATAATATGATTAGATCTTCACTAGTCACACTTGGGAAAAGAGATCTTGGAAAATAATAGCAAATTTCAAGGAAAACAAAAAGTAAAATGCTCTTATATTTGGAATCACTGAAGGCATAAAGTCACACACAATTCCACAGCATACCTGAAATGTATCTAGTGCTTTGTCACCTATTATGTTCCTGTCCCTGCTCTTCTTGCTTCCAGCTTTTCAACCTTCTTTTAGGTGTCCCAAAGATCCTCTTCCCACTTGAAAAGAAGAACTGAAGAACTTACATGGAAATTCACAGCATGGCTTTGGAAATATGCTGCAAACATACACATGGTTTGGGGTTTTTCCAGTTTTAGTTGCAGATCACCTGTCCTTCATGAATATCATATAAGCTACCAAGAGCTACTTAAGCACATTAGATACTCAAGAGAACCAAACTGTTGCTGTCAGAAAGTGGATGAAAACGTAACAATAACAAAACAGCAACACCACAGGAAGATTGTGTGGCAGATTTTGACTTTTCTTTTAAAAAATAATAAAAATGGCACATGGTCCTAGTTTGTCCAGAAAGCCTCAAACCAGAAGATATTTCATTCTTCTAATTCCACCCCATACACCTGCTATTAAGTACAGGAGTAAACAGGTCTCTTCATGAAAACTGTGTCAATATATTGGGTCAGAATTCCAAATGTCATAATTCAGTTTCATAGCAGTTACTTGCAAGGCACACATACAAAGCACAGAGGTTTTTGTTCAAAAATCTTAATGTGTTCAGCAGTTCTCTGTGTTCCTTGTGCTTTTCTTAGGTAAGACAGAGCTAGAGTTAAATGTGATATGTTCCCCATACAATCATCTCTTGGGATGTAATTTTTAATAAGTCTTCAAGAAAATCACAGTGCTTTACCTTTCACTTTGCTCTACTAATCCCCCAGATGCATTCTGCCACCCACTGAAAATTAAGAAGTTAAAAGTGACTGACCAGGAATACAAGTATCACTGGGCAAAGTACAGGCATTTTTCAAAGAGGAAAATCCTAGGTTGAGTTAATTTTAAGTTCATGAAATTCTTAATGCTTTTAGTCAGAACTGCTGCTGCTGACTTGTGGACTCCTCTTTAATGTGACTTTGTCATCTCATAATCATGCCTCAGTTTACAGGTGACAGCAGTATAAATACGACTGACAGAATCTCAGCATTCACAGATCATCTACATTCAAAACCACATTTTATTGCTAAAATAAGAGGATCTCATTTGAAAATGAAATGCGACCCATGTCAGAATTTTCAACCTTATTAGCTCTGCAGAAGGAGTAGAATTCTAGGAGTAGAGTTTAAAATGTCAGTAGCTAATTTTGCTGTCAGAAGCAAGAACTCTTCTAGTTTTTACATACAGGAGTTATTTAAAGAAATAACTTTATGGCTTATTCTAGAATAAATTATTGCTGCCTCTTGAAATTCACACAGAGATATTTTGTAGGATTTTTGTAAATTTTTTTGCAGTAGCATTTTGATTATCTGATATTGCTTTACTGTAGCATTTGCCAACAGAAGCAGCATACAAGTCCCATATTTCTGTGTTAAGCAAGTCTCTTCTGAAAATGGATAGAGAGCTTCAAAATATACATTGGGAGAGTCCCTATACTTGCAAATCTCACATCTATACAAAACCTTTGCATTAAACTAGATGCAGTCAACAATTAAATTAGCATTTAACTTCCACAGCAGAAAAAGTAGAAAGGGTATGTGAAATATACTGGAAAAACAAGTTTATATTAACTTATGTTATACTTAAGGGAACTACATATACTTTGGGATCATGGATGATCAATTTTTCAATTTTTAAATGTTTAATTTGGCATTTCTCAGGGGCTTAGTCCTCAAAGTTTATGTGCTGTATACTCTTTGAAAAGGACACTGCTTTGCAAGGCTTGACTATGAATACACAAAAGTCAGGGCTTAAAATTACTCGTTGTTTTCATGACAGATACCTTGCATTTTACATCTAGTCAATAAGTAAGCAGAATAGCTGGAATTGTTTATTAGCAATGAAACTTGACATGGACTTTAAAATGATGGAGTGTTTTATGATATATTAATACCTTTAATATTTTCTTAATTTCCCTTGAAATTTTTGTTGACCTTGATTTTTACAAAAACTAGAAAATTATTATTTGATAGATAAATTTTTTAAAACTCAGCTTGGATAAACTTTGAAAAATTCTTCATACATAGCTAGATTATTTAGATATTTTCAGTATGATTCTGTCACTGACCTGTCCATCCTCTGCGCCAGCTGAGATAATTTCTGGTTCTTTACAGGCTTCCAACATTCTCTTTAAACCTTTATGCCTTTTGCATACATCACAGGTAAAGCTGCTGTTAGACAGTTGGTTATGTGTTCTAGCCACATGTGTGTGATGTCTTTTGTATGCTTGTGGAATCGTCTGTGATTGTTTTGATAGGGAAGAGTTCCAGCATATGACATTTATCTGAAACTTTTATGAGATCTAATATGATTAAGCCTCCCTGGATCCTTTTGTGAGATTGTCTGTGGAGGGGATTGCTGGGACTGTGGAGAACAGCAAAGTTTTGAGAAAGAAAAATGCAGAAATGCAGTTGGAGAGTTGGAGAAAAGTCTGAAGTTGGGGAATTTTCATTAATTTTTACATATCTTTCAACCAGTAATCTTTCATCAGCCATGTATAACCTTTAGATAGGGCTCTTATTTTACATAGTATTCCAGTGCAGAATCTGCATTACTAGATTGCAGCATATGTATATTCAGAAGTGGAAACTAAACCTGAAGTTTTCAGTGTTCTTTTGTTCTGAAATACAAATGCAGAATATCAAAACTGTTTCTCTGCAAAGGAACTAGATTTTTGAGTGACAGATCACAGAAAATGGGATCTTTCAGAATGAAGAAACCTTTCAGTTTAGTTTGGTAAGGGAAAAAAATTGAGCTTTGCTTTGGTAAGTGGCCCTCCCTGTTGGCCTATGATCTGAGTTCGCCCAGTATCTTCCTTCTTTGAACACAAAAATTATTATCCTCTGAAAATTCTGAGGAATGTGCTAGAAAGGTGGGTGTTTGTTAAGATGTCGCAGTTCACAGATTTCCCATGACCTTTGGCTGAGCATTATTGTCTGTAATGTAAACTAGGCTTGCGTAAAATACAGATAAAAGTGTTTGCAGCACCCCAAATGGACTCAGACAGACTAAAATGCATACATGCAAAGAAAAAGGGAAAATACCAACTAGCTTACTTATGCTATTTTTTTGTATGTAACTATGTCTGAGATATGTCCATCTTTCCCTTGGCAATGGAATATACTAGATTTTATGGGTATTCTTCTTTTATAGATTTCCCCAAGATATGTAGATACTTAATATCTTGGTTTGTATTTTATTCATTTTCCTTCCCCCTTCTGTTTACTCTTGATGCTCCTTTAAGCAAATTAAGTGCCTTCTCACTCTGCTGATGATGCTGATACTGGTTTGTTTTATCAGGTGTTATTTCCTGCATGCAAATAGTTAATCAATAGTTTCTTGCCTCAACAAAATGTGAAACTTGCTTCCTGTTCTTTAATGATTCTGTCTACAGAATCCATTGATACATATATTTCATAGCATTTTGTCATTTGTATCAAGTACACTTATATTCAGATATATACATTGAATGAATTTATAAATCTGACAGGATTTTAACTACGAAAATATAGCACTAATCATCCATCTGGGAGTGAAAGCAAATTTTGTCATTGACCCCAGACTTCTGTTTTTATATTTATCTTTTTTTTTTGTAAAGGTTACCCTGATAAAATGCCATTAAGCTTAATAGACACACATCTGAAACTTAAAATCTTTGTTTAGCTGCAGAGCAAGTGTGAGTCATCCCATTCTGAAACAGAGCTGCTGAGAAAACAAGTGGGAAATGAAAAAGCATCTATGAAAAACCTGGAATCTTTGCTTGTGTCCAATTGTGAGAAAGAATTTCAGTCACAGATAGCAAAGCAAGAGAAAGACTCTGAAATTCAGTTTCTCAAGAAACAGCTTGCTTTAGAGAAAAATCATCCATGAGTAAATGACCAGGAGAGTATTGCAGTTGTTCTCATTCTTTACAAGGGTATATAAATAGAGATGGTTTTATATCTACCTGCATTTTCAAATGGCCAATGTACCTGGCTACCTTAATAGCAGAAGATACGAAAAACCTGCTTTTGATTCCTCAGCTATAATCTAATAGACTTTCCTGCATAGTGTTATATTTTGCTCAAAAAAATGTTCTTAATCTGAATTGGATGATATAGCTGCCCTTTTAATTTTGGATAATTGTATTTGGCTTGGAGGATTATAGTTTCTATCTAATTAAAGTGTACAGACTTCATAGTGCTGTGCAGAGTCAAGATTTTACTCACCTCAGAAATAGAGCAGCTGAGCTTGAGGCAGAACTGGATATCACCAAAAGACAGCTGGAGAGTGAATGCTTTGAAAGGCAAGTATATGTTTTTGTATTGTGATTCCTGTAGCTAATTGGGGTGAAATGCAATATAGTACTAAGACTTAGACTAATTAGTCAGATAAATGGCAAAGTTTGTGTTTACTTTGCTGTATGTCTCTTTTGTGCTTGGAGACTATTCATGTCACTAAATTTAGTCTGTTTAGCTGTTATACATGCTGTCTAAATTAGTTGTATAGGTTCCCTCTATAGCCAACAGAATGAGACAGTGAGATCAACTACCCTCTGGAATAGCCTGCATTAGGATGGGATGGGTGATTTTCTTGAAGATGCTTGTCTGTCTTCACTCATACTGATGCCTGTCTAGATCTATAGTGAAAGTTAAGGTGACTAGTTGTTTATACAAGAGCTTTATAGACTACTAGTTCTCCATACCCTCTGGAATGATTTTAGCCTGTACCAACCCCCATTCTCCCAGATACTCCTTGAGGTGCTAGGGGTGGTTCCCAAATGGCAATATGGCCAAATATTTTATATTAAATTTTTTAAGAAGATAGTCTAACAACATGTAGAAACTGTTTCATATGATTTGGTCACAGCACCAGAGAATGGTCCCTGTCCTGCTTCAGGACTTAGTTTATCTACATAGTCTTTGTGTCTTAAATAGGTTTCTTATCTGTTAAACGCAGAACTTCTCTATTTCATGGATGTATTGAGGATAAAATATTACAATGTTGGGTTTTATTTTGGGGTATGTAAAAGAGAGGGCTAAAAGAAGCAGAGTGATGTGATTATAGCACGGGTTTGAGAATCAGGTGTCTCATTTAACTGTAGTAAATTACTTTGTTGATATTCTGTTCACTCACAAGTAAGGACAAGGGTTTCAGAGGGGGCATCTCTATACCTGAAGTCAGGTCTTTTAAAGATGAATTTCTTAAACTTCTCAGTTTCAGTTTCAAATTGGATTCTCATTTACCCTGAATCAAGGGCAAAAACTACAGAATTTTTGTGTTAGATGTGGAAGTCCATTTAAAAGCTGGCATAATTTGTGCTTCCCCAGCTGCATAGAATAAGCCAGACTGTATGCTAATAGAGGAGAACCTTTGTTTTAAAAGAACCTTCCTACTTCCCCTGTGTGAATGCATCCATCTCATGGTGTATGGGTATTCCCTGATAGGGATTGCAAGTATTTCTTCTTGAAGTGTTCACTTGGCAGAAAGTTGCAACAGCCTCCAGACTAAATCTCTTCTCCTAGTCAAGGATAATTCATTACTCACATGGTTGCTCACAGTTGCAATATAATCACTTAGTTTACAATTAGTTAGAAAAACAAATATTAGACTGAGCCTATGCTGAAACAAAGATCACCGTTTTTCATTCTTGAAGAGAATTTATCTTCTACTTCTGGAGAACTACAAACATAATTACCTGATTTGCCTTGGAAAAAACAAATCTACGTTCCATTAAGCTGTCTGTAAGTCAGTTGCAAAAGCAGTATGCAGAAATCTTACACAGCGAAGACTGAAATGTTCTCATATAAAAATCTGGGGCTGACATTAGATTTAGCCCTCTTTAAAAGACCAGAGCTTTTTTCTTCTTTGGCCTTTTAAAAAAATCGTAACAGTGGACCTTCAATGCCCTTGCAAAGATTACAAGAATTCTATTTCTTTTCTGTTTTCTCTCAGAAGGTCATGCAATAGAAGGTATCTCTGTCTCTTGCTTACAGGGAAGGGAATTAAAAATCCAAGCTGGCTTCTACTTTTCTGATACTGGCAAATGAAAACCAGAAAATTGGCCATATAGGAAAAATATTATTAAAGTCGGTATCACGATAGTATATAATGGAAGCAACAGAGGTGAGTACTGACTGGGGTTTTGTTGTTAGTTTAAAGAAGTGAGTATATGACATCCTTATTATAACATTGACTTAGCTAGTCACAGAATCACAGACTATGCCGAGTTGGAAGGGATTTGCAAGGATCATCGACTTCAACCCTTAGTCCTGCACAGGACCATCCCGAAGAGTCACACCATGTGCCCAAGCATATCATCCAAACACTTGAACTCTGTCAGGCTTGGTGCTGTGACCACTTCCCTGGGGAGCCTGTTCCAGTGCCTAACCCCCCTCTGAGTGAAGAACCTTTTCCTAATATCCAACCTAAACCTCCTCTGCCACGGCTTCAGGCCATTCCCTCGGGTCCTGTCACTGTTCACCACAGAGAAGGGATTGGTGTCTGCCTCTCTTCTTCCCCTCAGAGAAAGTTGTAGAACTGCAATGAGGTCTCCCCTCAGTCAGTTTCCTCTTCTCCAGGCTGAACAGACCAAGTCACCTCAGCTGCTGCTCATACGGCTTCCCCTTGTATTGATTTACTGCCTTGGTGCAGAATGAAATAATGCCTGAAGTTAGGAGGTGGAAGTGTCAACACTGTCAGCAACCAATGAGCACCAACACAGTGATACCAGGAGGCTTAATCCATCTCCCTAGCTTTTTCTTCACCAGTCAGGAAAAGCACCTTCTCATCCCTCCCATCTTACTGACTGCAGAAGCAGTTTGGACTCCTGTGGAAACAACAGGTTTGATTTATTGTCTTGTCCTGGCTGTGGTGACCAAGCACAGAGACTGACTGTCAGGTCAGATACCCCTGGACAGCCTCAAGTGCATGTAACCTGTGTAACTTTTTATCCCTTTCTGTTTCTTGACCATCATTTTTGCTGCCTTTGTACCTCCCTTTCCTTTCCCCATTGGTCAGTTTGGCTGCTACATTCATACCCAGTGTTACCTGGGAGAAGTGCAAGCAGCTGTACTCTGACTTCCTACAGTTTTCAGCACCTTCTTTACCATTACAGATAGTGCAACATGAGCACAGTAAAGTCCTTAAAAGCAACAATGCTAGTAAGGCTCACAGTCAATGCAGATAAATCTGGTTCCATAGACTTTACAGTGTATGTGATACCTCACTGGGTTGTGGGATGGTGGTAGCTGGCTGGAAGATTCCTAATGGCTCACTGGGCTCCTCTTGCTAGAGCAAGCCCTTTTATTGCCTGCAGATTCAGCTCCATGAGCTGGTGCTGGATCTGATCATTCCCTTGCAGGTTTTGGTGACCTGCTTCAGTGGTCCACTCCATGGGTAGCTGTGTGGAAATGGCTAAGCCACACTAGAACTCAGGGGTTGTTGTAGCCACCCTACCTAGTAGTTTCCCAATCCAACACAGACTAGATTCTCCTTATGTAAACAACTGACAGCCTGAAATGAGGATCTCACATGAGCATGTACCTCCAAAACTTTCCAGTGCATTATCCAATCCCACATACTTCCTTCTCATACACCCAGATACAGGAGTTATGGATTGATCCACTATCCAGGCCCCATGCCTAGCAGTCAAAATGACTAGACTACCATTTTGCAACTTTCCTACTAGGGAGTCCAGCATCTCTTAAATATCCATCTGTTTCAGGCACTTCAGACTCTGATCCACTGGCCTTGCCAACTCAAATAGCACAAGAATACTGCAAACAGCACTGTTCTTACTTTTGAATAACCTTAAATCTAGTCTCTTCATCCCTGGAAATTTTTGCAGATTTTAGAGTTTAACCTGCAGCAACCATGGCTAACTTCTGTCTTTGAAAGAAAATTAAGACAATGGATATGTAGAATTAAGTCTGAGTAAGAGAGTAATAGAGTCACTAATCTGTCTTTCAGAGAAGTATATGATGAAAACCACATTTCCTTTTAATATAAAATAAAATTTAAAAGCTGACAATCTTAAATAGAAAAAAAAAGTTTATAGTGACATTTTAATGTTTTTTGAAAAGTGCTTTGTCATAGTAAAATACTGTGTTGTTAGGGAACTTCAGAAGCTTCAATGCCAGAATCATACAAATTTGTATCAGTTAAGCTCTACATTAAGAACATCATCACCTGAACATTCCCATCCTCGATCTCCTCATTGGTCTCTGGACTGGCCCCTGGAAGGGTAGGTGGTTCCAGAATATTTAAGTTCCAAACACTGGGGAGGGAAATAAAAATAAAAGCATGAACTCTGATATTTCTTATTGAAATATTGACTGAATTCCATGGAATTACATTTATGCTAGAAAAGTCACAAGAAGATTCAGGACCATAATCTTTTGATATACTCCTTTTATTTTGTTTTATTGAATTGTATCAAAAGTATATAGTAAACAGCAATTACTTGCACCAGGATGCTATAGTCAAAAATTCTTAAAACAGTAATAGAAATAATGCTACAGAAAATCTTGACAGGCCACTGTTTTACGCAAGGTTTATATGTAAATATTTTCATCTTTCCTACATAAAAGCTCTTAACTATCCAGTCTTTCTTCTTCTAGTTTTCAGAATAGTTTTTACTCTATATATGTGAACGTTTTTACAAGAAACATAAATGCATTCTGTAAGTCTTCAAGTACTTGTAATCCTGAGGAGGAGCAAGCCCAGCTTTCTTTTTAACAATTAGTGGAATGGAGCCTCTACACTATGGAGCTACTCCCCTGACACTTTCAGTCTCAGTTTAGTTTTATATTTGGTAGCTGCATGCTTGTTGCATCACGCTTTTTTGGTAGATTTATGGCAGCATGCATTAAAAAAATATTGCCAGTTTGTCCTGGTTAGAACGGCTGGGACCAATTCATCCCTGGATGGGTGTAACCCAAAACTGTGTATTCTATAGCCTCCATGCCATTTCCCAAAAACTGCTGTCAGTAGAGGCCTGCAAGGTGGGAAGATGTTCCTGTACCCTTTTATGGAATTCCCCGCTCTGATATCCTTATATGGAATTCCCCGCTCTGATAAGAGGGACTGAGCATCCACATGCCCTTTTATGGAATTCCCTACTCTGAGGGAGGGACTGAGCACTCCCGCCTGAACTGGAGAGTATATAACTGGGAGTTTCAGAGCCTTGGGGCTCTCTCTCGTGGGACCCAGAGGAAGACAGCAGACCACCGCTGCTCCCAACCAGGCTGAGACCACCACCCTCGACTGGACTGCAATCACCACTTCTGACCAGACTGCAGCAGCTCTCCCACCAGCAGGTTTATTCCCTCTCCCTTTGCTTTGGACTCGGGGGGTGGGCCAAGGTACACCACTTTTGTTCATACCCCAGGGTCCTGGGTTTGTACATTTGGGTTTTGTGGATTAAAACCAATTGTCTGTCTGTATAATTGTACTTATTGCATTATTTTAATAAATTGTTATTCTGACTTATAAATCTCTCTTTTGAATTGAGTTCATTTTGCCTTGCTGGTTAACTTTTAAACCACCACACAGTTGAAGAGGAAAAAAGGTCTCAATTCATGACTTGCAGGAAATAATTTCTGCTTTTGAGATGATAATGTACTTCCAAGTCTAATTTGTTAACTGAGATTATTACCTTTAGCATTTGATTGCTATCAAAGGCTCCGCTAATTACTAATAATAGGTCCTAACAATATGAGACAAGTTTCCTTTGGGTCAGTGAGCTGGTTCTGGTGCCCTTAGTAAAAAAACACAGCTGAGCAAGACAGTGATTTTGTAGCTATTGCCAGACTTTGATAGCAAGTACAGGGAGTCTTCGTTCCTCTGATAGAACTGTGTCTACTCCTCCTTAGTCTGAGTACAGTGTAGCTCTTAAACTTTTGAAAGAGGCATTATTTGGAACAGTTGCATTTTCTTTTAATTACCATAATACTTCCTACTTGTGATACTTATAAAGAAAAGAGGGTGCAGTCCATGTAGTCACCACACCAATACTAACAATTAAGGTGCTTTTTCTATTTGCATCACTCCCTTTTCAGGGTGATAGAATTCCATTCTAATTAGTAAACTTCTGGCTAAATACTAAATGAAGACTAATCTTCTGCAAAACAGATTAGGAATTCAACTCACATCTTGTTTGGTTTTGTTTGTTTTTGGGTTTTTGTTTTGTTTTGCAGGGGATTTTTGCTTGGTGTTTTCTTGTTTTGTTTTGATTTGTTATTTTTGTCCTGGCTGGCCTTACATGGCATGATCTGCTTTTTCACATTCCTAGGATACGATAAGTTTAAGTAAGGACTAAAAATTAAATAAGTGAGCTAGGTATAAATTCTTCATTTGCTTAAAATCTTAGATGGTTTAAGCTAATTCTTTCTCAATTAAATCCTTGGAAATAAACTCAATTTTTCTTCTGCTTGATTGTTTTGAGAGCTCAAGCTATATAACTAATGCTACTCGTAACTTTTTTCCTCATCCAGCTCTTTGTTATACTTTTTTTTGTCTAAGTGGGAAGGCCTAGGGTTGTTTCAGACTTGGAGAATCCTTGAATCACAAAATGGTTTTGGTTGGAAGGGACTTTAAAGACTACCTAGCTCCAACACACCTTCCATGGGCAGGGGCACCTTCCACTCAACAGGTTGCTCGATGCCCCATGCACCCTGGTCTTGAACACTACTTAGTTACTTGTTTATGCTAAATGGTTTGAGATTGTTTTCATTTAAAAAAAGTGCAATAAAAACTGAAATACTGGCAGTCAGTGTTATATTTCAAAAGTTTAAGTGGAAAGAATTTATTAGGTTTGTGTAGTGTAGTGGTACATAATGGCCAGTCTTCGCGAACGAAGATTTGGGGAAAGGTCTTTTACCTTTCCAGCCTGCGCAATGGATTTTTTAGGTGAGACACAGCCTGCGCTGAACTGAGCCCACCCTTTAATCCTAAGGTTCATCTGCCGGGGCCAAGCAAGCTTGGACAATGGCAGTGAGGTCCTCAGGACGTAGGTTTGTTTAGAGTGACCTTCTCATAGATGGATGGCCTCACAGGGCTAGCGGGCTCCATCTGCCCGGGGGGACTGGGATTCGAACCTGGGTCGCAGCGGTGAGAGTCCCGCATGCTAACCACTAGGCCACCAGGGGTTCCCCAGTGTAGTGGTACAGTGATGAATAAAATAGCCTGTTTCATAAGGCTCTCCTGAAATAGAGCAGAGCTCTGAATCTGTAACTGTCTGCTTTGTATAAGTGATTTACATTTGATTTGCCTATGTCTGGCTGAGTCCTCTAACGTCCACAGTACTAAAGTTCTGATAAATCTTATGTCTAGAACTTAGAGTCTGTATCAAGAAAAATATGGAATAGTATAAATGCCTGAAATATTTATGAATGATGAAATAATTTTCCTCCCAGTTAATCTTTCTCTAGAAAGATTTGGAAAATTCATTGAGATGAAATAAAAATCAATTTAAGATATTTCCTGAAAGTAAAAGCAAGAATGTTAGTGCAGATATTTGGGTATAATCATCAGCAGAATTACAGAATTAAGCTTTTAAAATAGATATATGGGGAATTGATGAAACATAATCTAGGTGTAAGTTCCTATTGTATTTAAAGCAGAACACTACTAGAAATAGTCTTCCAGGAGGGGAAATTTCATTTTTCAATTGCTTGAAGACAAGTTACCAGGGAAAAGATACTGTAGAAACAAGTACTACAAACTGGAGAGGCTTCTTCCACAGCTAATGTGTAACTCTGCAGTACATGAAGTATAATGAGATAGCAGTTCTGGAATCACCACTAATGCACTTCCTCATCTCCAGGGTTTTCGTGCTATTGCAGCAGACAGAGTGTGATGGGAGATGAAGCAGACAGTCACCTTTTTATTCTTTCATTGAGAATATGATATCAGAAGTAAATTGGACAGTAACTTTTTTATTCTTCTATCTTTCTCTCTGTTGTGTGAGACTCCTTGTTCCAGTAAAGTGAAAAGGATGTGCCTTGCAGTTAGTCTTGCAAACCTGGTGGGAAAGACATTTTCTGTCTGATTTTCTTAAGTGACAGGAGTCCAAAGCTTGTCTTTCACATCAAAGAGCACTATAGCACTTTTGTACAATAAAATCTAATCCGTCAAATGATCTGGACTGACTGTTATGGGAAACCTGCTCAAAGTGCTTCCAGAATCCAAACCTTAAAATTTTGCACACGGAAACATCAGAATGTATTTCTGTATTCACTGAACATGAAACAAATTAAATTTCTTTTTCTTTCTAGGGATTCTAGTTTCAAGGACTTAGACTGTTATATTCATAATGGCTTGTGAAGGTTCTGCACAACATCTGGAGAGTTAAAGTTTAATGCTGATTTAATTACAATTTTTCCCTCTTGAATGCTAAATTTCATCAAATCTATTTCACAAATGCTTGCACAGTTTTTTTAACACTCAACATTGTTCTGTGGGAAGAAATCAGTCTAGACAACTCCTTCTCCCACCCCTCTCTCAGCTCTTCTGTTATTGTGTGAGGTGCCCCATCTCAGTAAACGGAAATAAGCAAGTTCCATTGACTTTACCTTTAGGAAAGTAAAACACTAGTGTGTTTTGATTTTAAAAGCATGCATGATTTTAAAAGGTTTTGAAAAAGTTACCTGAAAAATAAGGAAAGAAAATGACAGTATGAAACTTTATTGGGGGAAAAAAGCCTATATTAAGGTGTTATGATTTCCATGTATTTTTGCTAAACTATATGAGTCATGCTTGTGAGAATGCTGTGCCATCTCAAGATAGGAAGAATGTAGTGGGGTTTTTTCCTCTTCAAACCTAACTTATAAATAGGAAGGCAACTAGGCTGGTAAAGGGACTCAAGCACAAGTCCTATGAGGAGAGGCTGAGGGAGCTGGGGTTGTTCAGCCTGGAGAAGAGGAGACTCAGGGGAGACCTCATCACTCTCTACAGCTACCTGAAAGGAGGTTGTAGCCAGGTGGGGGTTGGTCTCTTTTCCCAGGCAACTGTCAGCAAGACAAGAGGGCATGGTCTCAAGTTGTGCTAAGGGAGGTTTAGGTTAGATATTAGAAAGAATTTCTTTACAGAGAGGGTGATCAGACATTGAAATGGGCTGCCCAGGGAAGTAGTGGATTCTCCGTCCCTGGAGATTTTTAAAAAGAGACTGGATGTGGCACTTAGTGCCATGCTCTAGTAACCACAGCAGTAGTGGATCAAGGGTTGGACTTGATGATCTCGGAGGTCCCTTCCAACCCAGCTGATTCTATGATTCTATGATTCTATGATTCTAATTTGGATAAATAAGATACTAATGTCAGAGGATGACATTTTTTTTGATATTCATCTGTAAAGATATGTGGGAGTTTTGTATGTTTCCATACATACTAGAGGTGTGTTTGACTTCTAAGAATTTTATTAAAACTGCACAAAGTTTTTACTTAGAATTCTTTAGTATGAGTGAGTCTGTTTGATGGTAGTTATTACCACTTAAACTTGCTCAGAATTTCTGCAGTATATGTCACAGCATTTGTCTATGTTCTATATTTTCACACTTTAAATGCAAGAGAATATGTAAAATTCTCTCCTATAAATCATCTGGGAAATCTATGTGCTTTATTTGAAATAAAGCAGACATAATGATATTAACTATTGCCATATTATGCGGTTATTAAAAGGCATATTCTACACTTTTCCCAGATAAGAGAAGATAATCATCTCATCATCCCAGAAGATGAGAAAGTGATTTGTTGTTTTGAAATCATATTGCCATATTGATTATTTTTTTAGAAGATGATCATAAAAAAGTTTGAGAAATGTGATCTTAGTCTATAAAACTAATACCCACATCTAGAAGATGAGAAGCAGATATTAGATATACTTAGAATAGATAAAAATGAGTTCTTTTGGTATGGTAATACTACAGCTGAGTTTTTTATTCTATCACCTCATTTCTTCTCAGAGCAACTTAATCCCATTGGTGTCAGTGTAGACAGAGGAGTATTTGCCACATGTCTATCAGCATCAAAGATACTTTTGCAGTTCTGTTACTCAGTTGCTTTTGTATATTCATTTAATTTTTGATACTAGCAGATCTTAAATTATACGATGGAATGCATAAAAAGTTAGTATATATGGAATATTTAACTAGTTAATTTGCATTAGTTTCTCCTTCCACATCTAAGTGATTTTGGTATGAATAGCCTTGCAACAAGGAATACAAATTGATTTACTGATATAGATGGGACGGTCTGTAAAGAAGTGTGATCTTTTAATGAAAGAAGCAAAAGAGGGGTTTTAATGTATCTTGCTCTCTTAATGATCTTTCCTCTGATCCACTGAACCTTCATGCTAATTCCCAGCAGAGGGAGTATGTGAAATGAAGATGAATGAATCATACACGGCTTTGTGGTATTAACATGCACAGTTATCTGAACACATGGAAAGATATTTCAGTTAGTTTTACGTTTTGGACACTTTCCAGACAGAAGGAAAAGAGCTTGATTAGACTGACAAAATTTTCATGTGACTCCACTTGGATTGACTATATCAAAACATATAACCTTATTTCATGACAGGATCAGATTTTTTATTAATAAACTTTGAAAAAACAAAATTTGCTTATAATTAAAACATTATATTTGAAGACATGGCCTAAAATGATGTTTCCATCCAATTGATTTTTTTTTACCTCTCTAAAATATTGCAATTAGATTTTTCTCTAGGCTGCCCCACATTTGATTTTTATTAGAATCCACAAAGCAGCTTAGTAATTTATTTCAGCAGATACAAAAGTCTAAGGTTAGTTTTAAGTTTCCTAGCTTATGCTTCTCTTCTGCATTGTATTTTCAGTGTTTTTATTTCCTGAGGTGGGAGAAGAACAAACATTTTTTATCTTGAATGCAGCCTACACCCAAGCAATTATATAGAGTACACAAAGCAGAAAATGTTGTCAGAGCTGCAGTGCAACTGAGCAGGTGAACAATGTGCTTCTCAGATTTGCTTTACACAAGGGTATGTCTTTCCTGCACATAGTAATATTTTATAAAATCACTTTTGCCAGTATAGCATGAACATTTTTAAAACAATGCTACTTGGCAGAAATAAAACCTATAATTGAATTTCTTTTTTGACCCAGAGTGGCTGGTCTAGAAGTAACGTGGAAATGATTTTTCATCTTAAGACTTAGTGTGCTCCAGCTTTCCATTTTCATTTCTGCTTCCCTTACCACTGCCCTAAGAAACAAACAAACTCCACATCATTTTTCATTCTAACACTTCTACCTTGGACCACAAGGCAATGTAGTGTGGTGGTCCTTCCTTTTTCGGGCAACGCCTGTATTTTCTATCCAGAACTGTTGTCCTCAGAGTCACTAGCTCATATTGAAATCAAAACTCACAAATTTGAGAGAATTTTATTGAAATAGATGCCAAAGTGGGAAACTACTCGATGTTATTTTTGTCAATTCTTCCAGCAAGTTTGTCCATCCATCCTTTCTCACCTCTTGCATGGAAGCTAAGCTTCAAATACACCATTTGAAGATCCGAATGCATGACTATTCACAGCTGCAAGCAACTTCAGCTGGAGCCTTTCACTCTGACACCCCTACAAACATCCTGACTGTAGATACGAGCTACAATTACCCTGCCACCTCCAGCAGTCTTTACTCGCTCCAGCAAAAATCTGGAGATGGCTCGTCGCTACCTTAAGCCACTACGGGTGGGCGAAGTGGAAAGGACAGCCGGGGCGGAAAACGGTGAAATCGGCCCTTCACAGTGCCCGTTCCGCTCATTCTCCTCACGCCCGTACGCCTATGGCCCGGCGCGGTCAATGTCTTGCCGAGGCGGAAAACACCTGAGCGCCGCACCCCGCCCGGCCCCGGGGCAGCGCGGCCGGCCCGCCTCGCCTTTGGCCCCGCGGCCGCGGGCGGGCCCTGCGCCGCAGGTGGTGGCGGGGCTGGCGGGAGGAGCGGGGCAGGGCCGCGGGCAGGTGGTGGCAGGTCCGCGGCTCGGATGGGTCGGTGCCGCCCGATCCTCCCGCTCCCCGTGGCCTCCCGGGCGCTGCCGGTCGCGGGCACCGCTCCCCTGCGGGCCGCCCGTGCCGCCAGGGCTGCGCCGCCTCGCCCCTCGCACGGGCTCCAGGTGAGTGAAGGCAGCGGGGAGACCCGCCAGGAAGCGGCTCCCTCTGGCCAAGCCGCGGCCGTCGGGGGCGGGGGGCTTTGCTTCCCCTTGTGTCCTCTGGAGCTTGTTTTCCTGAGAGCACGGCGAAGGGAAACGCTTAATCTGAAGTAAAAAAGGCGTTTAATTTAGGGGCGAAAGGTACGTAGGGGGACATGGACACGGGTTTCTATGTGCACAAGTGGTTCCTTCGCCACCGACATTTCCAGGTTTGTCAAAGGTGTGAATTAGATTGAGGTGAACAGGCCGGTGCTCCTACCAGCCCAACTTCTTTCGGGAAGGCTGAGCTCAGCTGGCGAGGATGTTTTCTGACCCTCTCTCATTCCTGTCTCGCAAAATGCTGACTGACCCTCCGACCCGAAATTTGCCTTAAATATTGTGACTTCTTCATCCTCTTTAATGTATTTTTGATCATGTGATCTGAAATACAACAAATCGATTTCTTTCATTATTACATTAGCTTCTGTTGACAAACTTTGCTGTCAGTAGTGTATTTAGTCCATTGAATTTTAATTGACACTGATGGATCTTAGGTCAACGCGTGGGAATCTCTTCAAAAATTTTTAAGAGTGCTGTGAAATTTTAATTGTGAAAACATCACCCTGCCAGTTTTGCCATACAATTAACTGAAAAATATCCCATAGATTTAATATCAATAAAATACTATTTATTAGCTTATTTTCACACTAGTTAAAAAACTACATTTTTTCTATAGCGAGTTTTTTTCTATAGCTAGTTTGTTTTAAATTGCATAAAATCCTGCATGCCTTAGGCTTTATATGCATATAAATACCAAAGCAATATAAGTATCAACTAGAAGCATGTAGTAAACTATACAGTCCATCTCTTTGTCTGAAAGCAAATTGTTATTCCAGCTTGACACACACAAGATCTTCCAGAAGTTTTTCCTATTCTCCTATTTTTTCTATTATAAATCTTATGTACCATAATTAGCTCCCATAAATCTTTCTTCATTTGACATCGTGTTCTCTACTTGGTGCTGTACATTCTCCTGTATTTGTCATCATTAAAAAGTTCATTTGCTTTATCACTCACAGATCATTAGCTTCCAAAAATAGCAACCATGCATCGAAGCCTGTTTGATGCTAATACAATGCTGTACATCATTTTTACGTCCGAGTAATTTCT